AAAAGCAATCCCAGGATTAACACTAATTTACTAATAACACCAGAGATGAGAAAGAACAATCAAAGTTGTCCCTCTAACACATCAGCTGTCCCATTGTAACAATTCAAAGCATTATAATTGGTTCCAAATCTTTAACTTGTATTGATATGTTTGTTATTTTATTGCAGCCATTTACAACTTTATTAACAGCATAAGAATGTAAGAAACAGGAAGACGAGTACACCACTTGCCCCCTTGAGTATGCACTGCCCTTTAATAAGATCATAGAATCATAGGGTCATACAGCACGGAAACAGACCCTTCGGTCCAATTTATTTGGGCTGAACAGAAATCCTAAGCTGATCTAGTCCCAAGTGCCAGCTTTTGGCCCCTATCCTTCTAAACCCTTCCTATTCATATACCCATCCAAACGCCTCTTCAATGTTGTAATTGTACCAGCCTCCACCACTTCCTCTGGCAACTCATTCCATACACGCACCATCCTCGGCATGAAAAAGTTGTGCCTCAGGTCCCTTTTAAGCTTTCCCCTTCTCACCTTCAACCTATGCTTACCTTCATGACTTACCTTCAAACTCAAATCCACCTTTCTTCCTGTTTCCCATATGCCTTGATTCACTCCCAAAGTCTACTGAGCTCAATCTCGAATATGCTCAATGAATGAGCATCCTCAGGTCATTTGGGTGGAAAATTCAAAAGATTCTACATGAAGAAATTTCTCCCCATCTCAGTCTGAAATAGCGATTCCTTATTCAGACTACACCTCTTAGTTCCAAACTCTCCAGCCATGGGAAACTACTTTCAAAATGCTTTCTATAAAACGTATCCACCCTTTTAAGTACATAAGGAACTTTTTTTGGATAATACCCTGCACATGCATTAGGCCTTCTTACCTTTTTAAATACAGGTGGGCTTGGCAATGGGGGCCCAAATTGACGAACACCCTCTCGAGCAGTGACAGAAACCTGCCAAGGGGAAGGGATGATTATTATTTGAGAACCTTTTCTGAATGAAGTTAAACTCACATTATAATCAATGCCATTTATGTGAATGTCAGTTAACTCTACTTCATGAGCAACTTCAGGTTTGTAAAATGGGCTGTCGGTTCAGTCTATGAGCATAATTTATACCACTTAATCAAACCAATTTCAACTCCTTTGCCTGTCAGCTACAATGGATTGCTGAGTTTACGGTAGAATAGACTGCAATGCGCCAAAAAGCTCAAAGATTACTGGAATAGGCAAATTGGCATCAATAGACCATAATTGTTTTGTGGCTGTTTCAATTGTCATTCTTCCTCCTTTGTTCACCCAATGCATTTTACTTTCGTTACCTTATAAGTAGTTCTATCTGCACAAGAAGTCTCCACCTGCACCACAATGTATGCATGAAGGAAATTGGAAGCAATCATATCTGGAACAAATGGTGTATTTTCCTCTTGGAATACGATTGCCACAATGTCATTCCCGATGTGCCGTTTTCTTTGCAGCTGCAATGGAGAAGCCAGAAAGGTTAGCCAAAGTGAATCCTGCATCTTAAATTAGGAAGGCATCATATTCCCAGTTGCCAGGGAGAACTTGAACATTTGGTTACGACATTCACCTCCTTCGCAAATCCGATATTGGGAATTTCTTAATGATACTGATAAATATTCTGTCACCTCTATTAGTCAAGATCGGGTAACTCAGTACAGACCTGGCACTGAGTTTGGGATCTTCATCTGACTCAAATGATGACAGGTCTTTGTGGAAAATTAAGAAATTGACATTGGAATACAGCAAACTATGTTTTAACCAGCACTTTATAAACAGGGCCTCTCGATAAACCTGCAAAAAGTACTGACCTCAAATACCAGAAGTTTACTGTATTATTGCAATCTCCAGAAGGCTGTCTGCTGGTAAGTTTCATTTAAAGCAAAGTTGCATTATTAGTTAAGTGTTTTATGCTGTAAATAAAGTATAATAGTGATGTGTGTAGATCTTGTATTATATTTCTGTAATGGTGTTTTTACATTGATAAAGTTGACCTCTTGATCAACTGGAATATTTGATCAACCGACACATTCCTGGTGTCATAGATGCCAGTTAATAAAAATTTTACGGTATTTTTATTTCCACAATGTGCCTTTTTGAAATTCTTTGCTTTCTTTTGATGTTAGGTAAACATGTTGCTCGAATTGATGATAGTTTACTCAAAAATATAAACCTAGTGTGAATGGAGGTAGAAGACAAATACGAAATGATCACCTGCTGATCTGTTGTTCTGGGAACAGCTGAATCTTTGCCTACAGCTACACATAACTTTCGAGTTTATGTGAAATTCCAAGTAAATGTTTTGTTGAGTTATGATGTTGCTGAAAAGGAATCCTTCCCTGCTTATACTTTGAGTGATAGCGGGAGTTTGGAAAGTGCCTTTCATTGGGACAATCCCTTTCTCTGAAATCAGAGCTTGTTCATCAACCCCTATGTTCTTATAAAGAAAGATCAATACCTTGCATACAACACAGGATGCACCAGACATAAATTTTCAATGAATTCACAATAGATTACTTCTGGATGGGAACAGAGGAACAGGGAAATGTCATTCGGCCCTTAGAGCCTGTTCTGCCATTCAATCAGATCATGGGATGATCCGTATCATAAATTCATTTTATCACATTTCCTCATCGTACTCTGTAACATACGATATGTTTGACTAACAAATAAATGTGTAGAAATTAGCATTTCCGAGACTTGCAATTCACAGTGAAAGCCATAATGTCCCATCCACAACAGTCTTGAGCTAATACCGACAAAGAAGTCAACTCTGAGAGTTTCAGCACCACCTCAGGACTCCTGGACAACAAGGTGCAGGGCTGGATGAACACAGCAGGCCAAGCAGCATCATAAGAGGCCTCTCTGCTCCTATGATGCTGCTTGGCCTGCTGTGTTCATCCAGCCCTGCACCTTGTTGTCAGCCTCTCTGCTCCTATGATGCTGCTTGGCCTGCTGTGTTCATCCAGCCCTGAACCTTGTTGTCAGCCTCTCTGCTCCTATGATGCTGCTTGGCCTGCTGTGTTCATCCAGCCCTGCACCTTGTTGTCTCGGATTCTCCAGCATCTGCAGTTCCTACTACCTCAGGACTCCTGTTTGGCCATTACCTGAAGACAGCCTTTAGGAACTACAAACATTAGAAGTGCTACCTGCATTTATTATGCACCCGAGCAATAGGCTTAGTGTCTGTCTCTTCAATTCGCAGCAAAGCCTCCTCTCCTAGACAATTTCCCTACAGTGGTATCATATACCCTTCAGCTGTAACTTAATTTCACAGAAATAGGAAGGATTTGGCTTCTTTGAACCTGGCAGGTTGTTTATAAAGTGTCTTAAGAATGTTAGAACATACGACACAGAAGCAGAAGACTATACAACTCCTTGAGCCATACGATCATGACTGATATTCTGCATTAGCATTCCCACCTTCTCCCTATCTCCCTTAAATTCCTGAGAGTTCAAAACTCTGTCTGAACTGTGAACGTATGCAATGTCGGATTATTAACAATTCTCTGGGGAAACATTCCGACGATTCATAACAGACTGAGTAAACCACTCATTCAAAAATTTTTGACACCAGCCTTGTATTCTTCACACTTACGTTAACCCAAAAAACGTTCTTATATGTGGGCGATGCACACACACACAAATACACACACGCGCGCGCGCGCACACACACACACACACACGTGCACACGCACACAAACACACACATGTGCACACACACACACACACAAACACACGCATACATGCACACGCACACAACACACACACAGGTAGGGGTTGCGTGGAGCGAAATTGTAAAATACAGAGTATAATTCTAAAGGATGTGCAGAAACAGAGGCGCTGTGTGTACGCCACAAGTGATGAAGGTGCTAGGACAGGTTGTGAGTGGAATAAAGTGTACAGAATCCTGAGTTTTTTAAAGTAAGCAATACGAGTACGAAAGCAAGGAGGTTGTGTTAACCTGTCTAAAACACTGGTTCAGTCTCAACTAGAGCTTTACATCTAATTCTGGGCACCACACATGGGAAGAATGTGAAGGCATTCAAGAAGGTATAGAAAGGAGTCATGAGAATAGCTCTGAGCATGTGGAATTTCAGTAATCCACATAGATTAGAGAGGTTGGGACTGTTTAAAGTTGGGTGGTCATTTTACGTAGATATTCAAAAACCAAGAGGAGATTGGATACGATAAAACGTGGAGCTAGAGAAGCACAGCTGGTCAGACAGCATCAGAGGAGCAGGAAAGTCAATGTTTTGGATCTGGACCCATCATCAGGACTGGGGAGGGGGACAGGAGCTAGAAATAAGTAGAGGGAAGTGGATGGGGCTGGGAAAAGGCAGGGGATTGTAGAGATTGGTCAGTGGGAAGTGTGGAGCAGCCAGGTGAGAAGGAAGATGGACAAGTTGTGTTAAGTAAAGGAGGCGGGGATGTGAGGGAGAGCTGGACATGGCATGAGGCCAGGACTGGGGAGATTTTGAAGCTGGCGAACTTTATGTTGAGGCCATTGGGCTGTGAGCTCCCGAGGTGGAATATAAGGTTGTTGATCCTCCAGTTTATGTGTGGCCTCATTTTGACAGTGGGGGAGGCCCAGGATGGACATGTCACCAATGGGGGTGGGAAGGGGAGTTGAAATGCCTGGCAACCGGAAGCTGGTGTTAGTTGGAGCGTACAGAGCACAGATGTTCAGCAAATCAGTCACTGAGTCTGCGCTTGGTCTCTCCGATATAGAGGAGACCACATCACATTGGGAGCAACGGATGCAATAGACCAGGTTAGAAGATGTACAGATGAATCTCTGCCAGATTTGGAATGATTGTTTGGGGTCTTGGATGGGGGTGAGGGGGGAGGTGTAGGGGCAGGTGTAACACTTCCTGCAGTTGCAGGGAAAGGTGCTGGGGGTGGTGGAAATGTTGGTGGGCAGCGTGGAACTAACTAGGGAGTCGCAGAGAAAGCGGTCCCTACGGAAAGCAGATAGGCGGGTGGGGAAGGAAATATCTTTTTGGTTGGTGGGGTCCGATTGCAGGTGGAGAAAATGGCGGAGGATGAAGCATTGGATTTGGAGATTGATGGGGTGGTATGTGAGGACCAGGGGGTCTCTATCCTTATTGCTGTTTCGGAGAGGGAGTTTGAGGGCAAGAGTGCGGGAAATGCAGGAGACGCGGTTGAGGGCATTTTGATTCACAGGAGAGGGGAAATTACGATCCTTGAAGTAGGAGGACATCTGGGATGTCCAGGAGTGGAACGTTTCATCCTGGGAACAGATGTGGCGGAGGCAGAGGAATTGGGAGCATGGGATCACATTTTTGCAGGATGGAGGGTGAGAGGAGGTGTAGTTGAGGTAGCTGTGGGAGTCAATGGGTTTGAAATGGATGTTGGTGCTAAGTCGGTTGCCAGAGATGGAGATGGAGAGGTCTAGGAAGGGGAGGGAGGTGTCATTGATGGTCCAGGTGAATTTGAGGTCAGGGTGAAACGTGTTGGTGAGATTAGGTAGAGCGAAACAGTTCCCATTGGTGGAAGGATCGAGAATCAGAGGGCAAAGATTTAAGGTAATTGGCAAAAACAAACAATAACAACACATGGAGGCGACATGTTTATGTAGTGGGTGGCTGGAATCAGGAATGCACTGACTGAGAGTGGTGGTTGGGATC